AGCCAAGCTCAATTAGCCTATAAATCATATATTTTTTTTATATATAAAAGTTTTGATTGAAAAGTTATATACAATATCCATCTAGTTATTATTATTAATTTGTTAATACTGTGCAAAAATATTCCTTCTAGAGTAGCTATTAATATAAATAAGAGAAATTCTATTATAACTATTTTTGTATATTCAATATTCTTGAAATATATAGAGTTAAATATAGTAAAATAAAAAAAATAAAAGATTTCATTCAAACTATCCGTTTGAAGATTCCCCATAAAGCTAATAAGGAAATGTTTGGTTCGGGAAGATGCCATTAAAGTTTTGCAAAGAATGAAAAGACAACCTACTTTATTAAATGATTTATAAAACAATTTAAAACATATAAATTACTATTTGAAATTCAAAAAGAACTATGCTCAGAAAGTGAAACTAGAAGAAATTAATTTTAATTGGAAGTATAGTTATGGTTGTTTTTTAAAATATTTTTATATTAAAATATTTTAAAATAATATTTTTTATTTTAAAAAAATTATTTTTAAAATCAACATATCAAAACAATCCAAAATATATTAATAAATATTTAAATTTTTATGAAATGTGATTTGTACCGCTGTTTAAAAATAAAAAAAAATTAAATTGGATTAATTCAACTTATAAAACCTTGGAAAAATTAGAAAATTAAAAAAACAAAGCCATTCATTTTGAATAATAAAAAATGATTAATCAAGTTTCACAACAGGTTTTCTAACAATCATTACAAATTTTTTTTAAAATTTTAATAATTGTTCAGGATCAACAACTGATCTTTATGTATTATTAATATTATTATTGATATGTTTGGGACGATAAAAAAAATATAATTCGACCTTCTATTACATCTATATCTATTGTAAATATTTTTTTAAAAAAAAATAAGAAATATTCATGGTAACCACTTAAGCGATGTATATTTTTTTTTCCATAATATAAACAAACAATTAAATCTTTTAATTGAATTTCAAAAATATTTTTAGAAACATGTATAAAAAAAATTGGATTATACATCTCAGTCATCCATGATTAAATAGTAAAAACATACAACTCATAATTAATGAATTTATTTTAATGTAATAAACAAATATTAAATTTTATAATTATAACTAGTATATTAGCATACTCTAAATTCAAGTATAAATCATTATATAATGGTGACCTTATAATTTAAATTTAAATTTATTAGAATTATATTTATTAGAAATATAGAGTTTCTTATCTTATTTATTATAAATATTAATAATATCTTTATTCCTCTTCAAATGGAATCTCCCTTCAAATAAAAATACTCGCACAAGAGTATTATGAAAAAAAGACCAAAGTCCCTTATCATATTAGAAGTAATGACTTATGTCTTACCATGATGTTACTTTATCATTGAGTTAAAAATATCAATTTAATTGAAGGCTAAAATGAGCTTTAAATTATGCCTTTTATTTAGTACATGGATAATCTATATTTATAGAGATAGATGTGAGTTAAATCTATGTAATGTAAATATATTATATATAATTTTTTTATTTTTTTATTTTATGATTTTTTATTTCAGTTAAATCCTTTTATATCTTAATTAGATGAAATTAGACATGAAATTATGGTAAAAAAAACAAAATTAAAAGATATAGATCTAAAATATAACAAAGAAAAAAAATATGGCTAACATTACATTAATAATAATTTTTATTTTGATTTCAAAGGTTTTTTTTAGTCTATAAGTTTAAGAGATGAGAGAGAAATCTGTAACAATGAAAAGAGAAAATAATTATTATTATTTTTTTAACAATTAAACTTATAGATTTTTATATAAAAAAAAAGGATGCAATGATTGTGGGTTTTATCTATAAATATATCTAAAAAAAAAATTAAGTTACATTTAGATTTTTGTTTTTTAGATGATTTGTGGTATTTTGGGGTTGTTAGATGGTTTAGGATAATTTGTATGGTGTTTATTAGATATTTTTAAATAAAAATAGATTGAAAAATAGATTTTCATCTAAAAATCCATCCTCTGAATTTTCAATTATCATAATGGTGGCTAGATTCCAAGCAATTGCAAGTGATGGGTCACTTCTTTCTTAAAACAAAAAAAAGACAATAAAGAAGAATGACATATCGTCCATTTTTTGAAAAAGAGATTCAAGCTCGTGTGAATAGGCTTTTGTAAGATGCCTTGCCATGTTGGGTAACCCAAACCTATATGTCTAAGTTGATTTTTTTTTTTACTTGATTTGTTTTTTAATTTTATTATTTAATGTTGTGTTTATATATATATATATATATATTTCAATTTAATCCTCAATACTTTTATTATTCTTTTCAATTTTATTTTTTTATTTTAATTGGTCTTTGTGAGTTATTTTATTTTACTTTTATAGGATTATTAAGATTTTAAATAAATATTATGATATTTGATTAGTGCTCAATTTTTTTTCAATATCATCCTCAAATGTTGGGGTTTTATTAATTTTTTTTAAAATTTTATCATTTAATATTTGAATAATTTTTAATTGATCTTCATGATTTGTTTTAATTTTTTTATAAGGTTATTGTAATTTCAAATAAACATTACGATAATAGGTTGATAGTCGATTTTGCAAGTATCTATTTTTTTATTATATAATTAAGTAAAAATATATATTTTTTAAAAAATAATATTAAATTTAATAAAATTCATAACTATTTTATAGATTTAATGGGTCAAGTCATGATGACCGGGTCAAACTAATAAATTAACATTTTAATATTAAAAAAAAACTTTCATCTTTGAAAAAAAACTTTAAATATTTTTTCTAGTTGTCAGGTTGTTTTTTTACCCTATAATATTACTATGTAACACGGGGCAATTCATACAATCTAATTTAAAATCTGAGCTAAGCAATAATTGTTCAAGGAGTTTTTAGATTTACCCACTAAATCATTTGTATTGATAATGATAAAGAGATTTATGTGGCCTGAAAAATCTCAGTGCATTAAAAAAATTTAATATGACTTGCAACGTACATGCAATAACCTAGTGATCCAAATATATTCATGATTAAAAAAATTATTAATTAATAACACAATTTAATGTCATTCCATTTTCCTTTTTTAATAAAAAATATTTTTAATTGCACCGTTGCATTTATCTGTTTTCTAAAAATAATTTTAAAAGTTAGAATAGATTTTTAAAAACAACAAGCATGATTTTTTTATTTTAGTTTTTATTTATAAGATATCAAATTACTAATTTTAATATCATCGTACCATCACAACTAGTATTAAACTATTGAAATCATTTTATTATTACCACCATTAGCACTGGTACAACAATTATCATTATCTCCTTTAACATCATTTTTTGATGCAGTCAAAAGAGAATGATAACAGCTTTGTCATAAATTAAAACCTTCAAATACTAAGCGCACCATAATTATTAAGAGACATCCAAAATATTTTATTTTTATTGATTCATGTCTTCTCTGGCTAAAAGGCTATTATAACCATTTATACAAAAAAAAAAAAACTACAAAATCCCAGTAATAATGAATATAAAAAATAAACTTGAAAAGCTTTTCACTTGAAATAGGGAAGAAAAAGTTAGAGAATTATAATAATAAATAATAGAAAAATATAAAATTAATTATAAAAAACATATATTTTTAAAAAAAATTACATGCATCAGTCTCCCCAAGTTAAAAGAAACTCGTCATTGAGTTCAAATCTCGGCCATAAACTATCATCCACAATTATCACCATTTTATATATGGTTCAACCCATTATGGGTTTTGAACACTTTTGTATGAGCTATCTCATTAGGGTCCCTAACACAACACTTTTGCATGCGCTTACTCTATTGTAGATTTTTAATACAATATCTTGGTGCAGCTCGCCCCATTATGGATCCTATCATCAGGATCTCTAATAATAATAAAACATATAGATGTAAACAACACACTAGTTTTGAGAAAGCCTTTTTTTTCCGATGAGAAACCTCTTTGTCCCCTCCAACATGAACACATCTAGTTATGTAATTTCTTTCAACCATGATTATTCAAAAACACATAATAACTAACTATCAGTAATCATTGAGCTCTAAAACGCATCATTTATGACCTCCAACCAAAATCACAAAGAATTGTTGATCTCTGATATCAATTGATGCTGTTAGGAGCGAATAACAGCGAGTTTATTACAACTTAAAACCTTCAAAGATAAAAAATACAATAACTATAAAGAGACATCCAAGATATTTAATTTTTATCTATCCATGTCTCCAATTTTCAAAAGGATGTTATAACTTTTTATATAAGAAAAACTACAAAACCTAGTAATTTACTGAATAAGAAAAACAAACTAAGAAAATTATTCACTTCAAATAAATAAATAAAACTAGAAAATCATAATAATACAAAATATAAAAATATAAAATTAATTAAAAAAATAAATATTTTTCTAAAAAGCTCATGCAACACCATTATTATCATTAACTTCATCGTTACTATTACTACTATCTTCATAAACATGTTATAGTTGTTTTTATTATCATTACAACTACTCCTATCATATCACAACTTACTATAACCACTATTATTTATTAATGAAATCATAATTATAAAAATATTAATAATTTTATAATTTTTTCATTACTCTTATTATCATCACTATTATCATTATTATTATTATTATCGTATATCATAGTGCCATTTAATTATATTGATTAAATTATATAATGTAATTACTTTTATAATGTTTGTAATTAACATTGTATTATCATATTTCTTAAATTAAGTCGGTATAAGAAAGTCTCTTCATGATTCTTTGTTAAAAATACAAGGAATTGCATTCCAGTGCTTGGTCTAGCGGTGGAAGGGGCTTGTCTCCTTCCATTGCACCTGGGTTCCAGCCCTGACGTGCACGCCTGTCACCCCCGCGGTGCCTTACATGCCTACTGGGTTTGTAGGGTATTCAGTGGGCCGTGGGGATTAGTCGAGGTGCGCACAAGTTGGCCCGGACACTCCACGTAAATCAAAAAAAAAAAATGTAAAATGAAGAAGAAAGTGTTGCCGAATGCGGTTAATTCCTTTTGTTTTGAGCAGAACAATGAAGAAGATACATACATTCTTGGCTGTTGAAGACATTGTCAACCAATGTCATACAAATTAGTTGACAAAAGCTTCTATGGTTTAATATAATAAATAAAATTAAATATAAAGAAAAAAAAGAAATTTATAAAAAATAGTAAAATTAAAGAACTTTAAGAACTTTCAAGGGAGAAAAAAAGGCAAAAAAAAGAAGAAGAAGCTATTTATTAAATTAAAGATCACTGTCATAATTTTTATTTATTTATTTATTATCATTAATATTATTTTGGCTTTGAAATATTTTGACAACCCGTTATTGCTTCTCTATATTTTTTGAAAGCAAACAAATTTAAATATATGAAAACTAAGGTCCCAGGCAGAGGATCTCGATGATAGAGATTAATGCAGGGGACGGTATTGTACACGTGGACCACATGCGCCTGTATGGTCGCCCCTAGCTGCCAGTCCGGTCTTGGTTCAACTGTTCAAGGAGTCCTGTCCATCATCGTCATCTGTGGTCGGATGTTAAAGCAGTATTTGGTATGCTAGATGGTATTAGCTGGATCGGAGTCATATCTTATGTTTGTTGTCGAAGTCATAGCTTATGTTTGGTGTGAATAGATTGAATGATTTATTTTATTTTATGTTTGATTGACATGAGATAAGATATAATAATATATTGTAATGATAAAAATACTCTTATCTTGTTTATTGTCTAATGTTGGAAGTATACATTATAACATATATTGTTTTTAAAATCAAAACATAAAAAAATATTTCAAATATAAGATAAAAATAAAATATAAAATAAATTTATTTTACCTTTAATATTTAATATGTATCATAATAAAAACTTACATATTTAAATAAAATAATTAGATATGATTTTTTTATTTTATTCTATATTAAGTGTTAAAATTAATAATATCATAATAATCTTGATTATAAAACTCGGATTGACATGAAAAGTTGATCCAGAAGTTGATAGACTTATAGCTTGGATTGATTCGTGTTTAAAAAAGAAATACAGGAATAAATAATTAGATTTGATATTATTAAAAATTCAGATTGACCTGCAACTTGATCAATCTAAGATGAAATACAAATAAAAAATTCATTAATTTTATTAAATTTTTATGGTCGAAACTAGGTTAATTTGATTTTTTTATAAAACAAGTTGTTTTTTTTATACAAATTAAAATAAATTGTATAAACACTTTTGTTCAGAGGCTATTTCTTATACACCCAAGCAAATCTTTGTAATTAATTTTGTTTTTATTTATTAAAGAAATATATAAAGAAAAAAAAACCAAATTATAAAATTAATTCTAGACTTATTCTTCATGATTAGAAGTGAGTTTTTTATGGTGTAGATTGAGTAAGCAACGATATTATATTAGTTATTTTCTTGGATATATTTTGAAGAAAAAGACTGATATAAGCAAAAGAGAAATGATCCATAAAAAATAAATTATATATATATATATATATTTATAATTTTTCTTTTTTATTTGTATCTATTTATTTATTTAAAGTAAATTCTGATAAGTAATCAATAAAATATCACAAATTAATTTCTTAACATCATAAAATTTCCCGTGATTAGAATGGAAAAATGTTCTGGGAAAATTTCCAAACATCAAAAGCATCTTTCCTTCGTATCATAAAACAGATTCATCCTTGGTCACCGATACATTATTTTGTAGAGTTCTCTCCTTAAATCTAAATCCAAAATTTAGTAAAGTCTTTGGATAATGAAGTCTTCAAATCTATCAAAGGCACAAGAGGAATCATTTTTTGGTGTTTATTGGATGGAAAGTAATTTTTAAAAATTATTTTAAAATTTTTTTTAAATTTTTTTATTATTAAAAAAATTGATTAATAAAAAATATTTTTTAGTTAAAGAAAAATTTAACTTGATTTTTAAGAAAATATTTTTTTATCTTGGGAGAATTAACTTGATTTTTAAGAAAATATTTTTTATCTTGGGAGAAAATTATTTTCTGGAAGTTGTGAAAAATTTAGAAATATTATATTATTTACCGATTATATCAAATTTGATCATCAAATTTTTTATTATTTTATATATTTTGTTGTGAATATTTTTTTTTGCAATTTCATCCCTTAGAATTTAATTTTTATATTAACTTTAATCTTATTTTTTAATTGTTATTTCTCTTATCACTTTTTAATTAAAAAATTTTATCTATTAAATTTGATTTTCATTCTTTTGATTGTTATTTATTTTATTTGAAATAATTTATGAAATAATAATAATAATTTTTTTAATTTTTTTATCTTTTAATTTATTAGATTTAATCTCTATTATTTTGATTATTATTTATTTTATTTTAAATAATTTATAAAATTATATATTTTTTAATTTCATTCTCATTTGAATTTTAAATTTTTAATATTTGTTTTTTATTATTTTAATAAATTTTAAAAAATAAAATATTATTTGGTCATTTCAAATTATTTTCCAGCTTATTTTTCATGACATAATTAAATATTAAAAAATATTTTTTAATTTATTTTTCATTACACTATTAAATATAAAAAAATAATTTATTTTTTAATTATTTTTTTAAAATATTAGTTTTTAATAAATAAATGAGCTTTAATTAGAGTATGATCCATAGAGAACATCATGGGATCCACTTGTAACATCATAATCTTCAAACTGCACGCCCACCATCATGACAGCGTTGCCCCAAGTGGGACCTATTTGGTCGTCTCAGCGTGGATGTGTCCACGCCAATTATTCCTGTGACAAATTGTTACATCTTTTGTTTTTATATTTTAAATTTTTTTTAAAGAATTAATTTTTTTAATTTGAATTAATGTTTATTTTTTTTAGTATTTTCAAATCATATTAATATTAAAAATACTTTTTAAAATAAAAGACATTATTTTTATATATTTAAAATTATTTTTTAAAAAATAATCAATATTACCTTTACAAATATTTTCATTAGCAAAACATTTATCTCTTGTATCGAATGAGGGATCTGAGAAGGACACATTTTGTCCATTTGTCGATCGTTACTTGGAGATCAAGTTTTTCATAATAATAATAATAATAATAAGAAAAACTTTGGGAATCGTTTTTTTTAAATCCTCTTTCTGATGAGGTGGATATTTACAAGTACAAAAAAAATAAAAATAAAAATCACAAGACAAGAGTTTGGTTAATGAGATAGGAGTTGTGGCTGGTAATTTAGAATCAAATTCACACAAAACATTATTATATATTCTACGAAAAATAATGTTGGTTCATGGTATCTGTTATTAAGATTTATAATTCTTTTCAAGAAATATTTTGATGTGCTACCTCTTTGATTCTATTTATTTTTATATTTTAATTTTTTTTTTAAATTAAAATTTTTATATTTTTTCTTCAAATTATTTTTTAATATTTTTAGATTGTTTTAATGTATTAATATCAAAAATAATTTTTTTAAAATAAAAAAATACTATTTTAAAAAAATAAAAAAATATTATTTAAAAATATTTCCAAACAAAAAATATTTTAAATATAATTGCTATTTTATTCTCAAATATCCTTTAAATATAATGTATAAAATATATTATTCAGTTGCCAGAGCTATTGAGAATATATAAATTATTTTGCAACTAACACCATAAAACTTCTAGCATAAATCTGCATTCTAAATAGCTTTTTTTATATGATTTTTTTTTGACTCGAAACAGATAAAAAATCTGAAAAGGCATAGAAATTATGAAATAATCACCCGGTATTTCGTGATGGCTTCAGAAATTCTTGTGCGTGGGGTTAAGGTATTTACGAAAAGCATGGCATCCGAGCCCTAGAATCCCTGGGCTGTAGTAAAGTCTAATGTTTTTTTAGATTAATTTGGATGTTTGTACTAACTTAGCTTACATGCATTACAATTAATTCTACGGGTCTTAAAGTTAATGATTATATAAGCAACTAAGAACTCGAACCTGAGATCACAAAGAGAGCAAACCCCTTAATCCCAAATCCTTACTACTTGGCCACCACCTAGATGGTTGTAGTAAAGTCTAATATTGTCTCTGCTGTTACTGGTTTTTTATTTTTTTTAATTATAATTATAGATATTTAGATAAAATCATATATATTTTAATTAATTTTTAAAAATTTAAAATTTAATAATTAAATAATTTTTAATAATCTCAATATTTATGATACTTAAATTAATAATTAAAAAAAAATAAATTTAAGACTTGGCTGGACATGTTTAAAAATACGGTCCAATCTATATTTTAAAAAAATTAATTTTTTTTTTTAAAATTAATATTTTTTTAATGTTTTTAGATTATTTTGATGTATTAATATTAAAAATAATTTTTTAAAAATAAAAATATATTTTAAAATAAAAAATATTGTAAACTATAATAACCGTCATGATCCTAAACGTCAAGACAGTAATTAAGGTATCTCACTGAGAGTTTGCTGCTGCTTTTCTTTCAGCGGGGGAAGGAGCTGCTGCCTGCACAAACACTTGAAGAAATTTAATGGAGTTATGTATATATAATCTCGGACCGGCAATTAAAAAGGAAAAAAAAGAGGGAGAACACGTGTAAATATAACATGGAATTCAAGCCATGGCTTTGGTAATTTTATATTTATTTAGGAAAGGAGTTTAAAGGACCCCACCTGCCTCTTCCATCTATGCCACCAGGTAGAGAAGGGAAGGCGACGAAAACGACCCGGATCCGGAACATAAACCGGAACCGGACCCGAACCATGACAGACAGTTCCATTATTTTTAATTATTGTATCTGACTCTGAAGTGCTCGTTAAATTACAAAATAAAATTGGGCACCCCTTTCTCTCTCCTCAAAAGAAAAAAAAAAAAGGAAGAAATTTTTTCCTAGATCTCAAGCGTGAAAAAAATCCCCACTCGCAGGCTCTCCCTCTCCCTCTCCTTCTCTCTTTCTGTTTGTTTCCA